GGGTAGCAGCATCAACGTAATATCGTAAAGGAACGAAACGCGTGAAAAGAAAAAACATTTTTCACTTTGTCATAGATTCCTCTAATATATATACATATATATATATATATATATGTGTGTGTGTGTGTGTGTATGTATATATGTATGTATATATATATATATATATATATATATATATATATATGTATATATATATATATATATATATATATATATATATACACACACACACACATATATATATATATATATATATATATATATATATATATATATATATATTAATATTAATATACATGTTATATTCAGTGGATGCACGTAATTGAGTAAGCATCGTTGCTTTTTTAAATCTGAAATTGAGATCTCCCGACTTGGGAAATCGAAAGTCTTATTGATGAAAATGTCTCTCTTGACAGGAATTGAACGTGTTTACCTTTTTATTTAAAAACAAACAAAAAAACACCATTCAGCAAGCTATACTTAACCTCTGAAAGCAGAGGTATTCCACATCCAAAAAGGTTTCATCTCTCCTATTTACGTAATGTCCATCTCTTATTGGAAGCATTCGAAGCCTATAAGTGCTAACGTTATTCCTCCTCGGAGACATTTTTTTTTAAATACATCCCTCGCTTGCCTACATCGAGATATATCAATTTGACGGTTAATAAAAAAAAATAGTACAATGGACGTAAAATACAAAAGCCGTGTCAGTCGAGTTAAGTCAATAATTATCATAACATTCCAGAAGAAAGCGGGTCTTTTTCAATAGTTTTATGACAAGGACGTATTCAAGGAAAAGCACATACATGTATACGTAGATCACTTATATGAGATCATTTTAAAATATTATTTAGCGGGATCAATAGACAGATATAAAAATATTATATATATATAGATAGATTAGGAATTGTGCAAGAATAAGAAAATATGGTGCCATTCCACAAGGTAATTATGTGGTAAGAATGTGCTAAAACTATGAAACTTAGAGTGCAATAATAAGAGCCAAATCCGAACAAACTGAGATAGATAGATAGATAGATAGATAGATAGATAGATAGATAGATAGATAGATAGATAGAAATTTGTTACCATTGTAACTAATTGAATTATGTACTAAAGTGACATAAAGTATTTTACACATTTTTGTGGATCAAAGAAAAAATAAACGTTTCGATAAATGAATGCATTTAGAAGTTTAAATAAATCAATTTTTTTACATGGATCTTTACTGTCATCAACATGACTAATATTTCTAATTAAGAAATGTGATAATTATAAAGAAGTAAACCTTTTAATGAATCAGATCTGGCCTGAGAATCGTGTTTTGGGAAATCCTGATACACGGCCATCTTGCGTTTACGGTACTACTTTAGGAAACGATTTCTGCCGAATGTATTGAAGTTCTTCAATGATTCTGGTTGAAGAAATTTCAGGGGATTATCTTATGCGATAAATTCCTCGTGAGATATCGAAGAAAAAAATTATTTAAACCAAAACGTTTTGTACCCTGTTTGAAAATTGTCTTTACGCTACAAGTATAAAAATACAAATACAAATCATTGCTAAATAGTGCAACTTTTATTCTATTCTCTTTCAAATATTGTTGAAGCGAGAAAATCGTTGTTGTCAACAGAGAAATCCCGCTAGTGATTTAAAATAACGCGTCTGTGCGACGATGATATCAACTTTTAACAAATACATAGATATAAATATAGACAAATAGTGAGAAAAAATTGTATTTTACACAAAAAATATTTATTTGCATTATTTACATGTCGACTATTCTCCTCATCTGTGTTGTTGTTATCATAAAGTCTCGCCCGATGTGCCCTCCGGCCTTCGTTATGAATCCGTTGTCAATATACTTATTCGCATCACTCGAAAACTATATATACAACGAAAATTTCAGATCAAAATTCACTAGATAGATAGATAGATAATAATTGATGGAACTACAAAAGTATTTTAATAAGTAATATATTTAATATTGCATTTTTACTGCAGTCACTTTTCCATTCAGCATATTTTACGAAACTCGGACATATCCTTTATTGAATTCGGACAAACTGTCTGTCTAATTTTTTTTTTTTTTTTTGCCTTTTTTTTTGGCAATAGATAAGTGATAGAACTGAAGTCGATATAAATTTAATTTCCGAATTTCACGATTTAAATTGCCATTCTTATTTCATTTAATCTACTGGCTTCCATTTTTCTCAAAGCTGAAGTCTCTGGATTGATGGGAATCTACTTTCACTTTCACTTTCAAATTGTAACATTCGATTACTTCCATTTCTTCATTTTGTAGTGCTTCAAATAAGTTTGAATTGTTTATTTCGATTATCTGAATGTCATTTCTTTTTCATTACAAGCCAGGAATATACCTCAACATGTAAAATTAATATTATATCATTTCCTTCTCCATTTCTAATTCTTAAATCTGTTTTCCCGTCTTTTCTTCCTTACTTTTTACTTCTTTCGTTAATCTAATTTCTTTATGTGTCTCTTCTGTATGACGTTTCTTTATCTTTATATCCTGACTGCAATTCTTTTTCTTCCATTTCTCATTTTCTCAGATGCTTTTGACAGTGGTTCATATATATATATAAATTTACATTGAGCACTATTTTGTAAAAATAAAAATATCTATAAGAACACCGGTTTTTATATCTTACTGTTCTTTCTTTTTATTTATATACACACACACACATATATATATATATATATATGTGTGTGTGTGTGTGTGTATTATTTATATAGACACATATATTTAAGTAAATGATCTCTTTACAATAAACAGTATTACTTACAGTATTATTTACATAAATATTTGTGTCTATATAAATAACGTATAACAATAAAATATATTAAAATATTTGTCGAACTTTACTCATTTTATTATTATTATATATATATATATATATATATATATATATATATATATATATATATATATATCTTAATAACCTTACTCGGTTGGTGAAAAAGCCCAGTTGACGCAATTCGCCAATATAAATATATCGAAACAAATTGGTACCTGGGAAAAAATTGGAAAAAAAGAAAAATCTAAGAATATCCGAGAAAGGCTAAAAAATCGTCCAGCACCATAAATTCCAGTCTAAAGAAGAAAAACAAAAACAATCGAGTAACCAAGATAAAACGCTAAGCAGACAAGAAAAGAAAAAAAAATCCTAATGATCCAGGAACCACCTACCTTGGCTTCACCGAAACGGATCTTCTGTTTACCCTGAAGACCAATTTTGGTGAAACCTAGGTAGGTAGATCCTGGCTCTTTAGGGATTTTTTTTACACACACACACACACACACACATATATATATATATATATATATATATATATATATATATATATGTGTGTGTGTGTGTGTGTGTGTGTGTGTGTGTGTGTGTGTGTGCATTTAAGTCCCGCTAGTGATTTACAAAGGAGGCCACATATGGAGCAAGAGTGAGATGAGATCACTGTTAGATTGGTTGACCTTTAAATTCTTGCTCTCGCTTCTTGAAGATGATTCAGACAAGCAGATTGGAAACTGCTGAGTGTATAATATATATATATATATATATATATATATATATATATATATATATATATATTGTTTTTTTGTCTAAAATCTGTTATATTTATGAGCGGAGTGAGGGTGCTTAATACCGGCGATAGACAGTATAGACATAGTAATCAACACTGCATGGTGACTATCAGTTTCACGCATACCTATATATATATACATACATGTGTGTGTTTATATATTTACAACTTTCTGTATAAGCATACTGTTGATGCCAGGCCATGTTTATAAACGATCACGAATTAAAAGATGTTTTGAAAGAAGTACCATTGTTTATGGACGAAAACATTGTAATATCGAAGCATCTATATTAAATTTACTAAGTTATAGCTTTTGATACATTTTATTTCTAATATTTACATCTTATTGAGAAAGAAATTTAAAATAAAGGGAGAGAAGTTTTTTTTCGATGCGGGAGATATTTTTACAAAATTAATTAAATTATTTTAAATCATTCGCTTTTTTAAATTTCAATAATAATTCAAAAAACATGACAACAAGCAAGAAACAAACATACAAATGGGCAGGGCAAGAAAATAGGAAAAAACCGAGTGTATAACAAGCGACCCTGAAAAAAATAAATCAAATTGTTATTTACTATATAAAAAGTAAAATCTCAATTATAATATTTCGACAAAAAATATTTATAAATCATTTATTTCTTGCATTATTTACATTATTCGGACTTTTATTCTCATCTTCATTGTCATATTCACAACGCTTCGGCCGTTGAACGCTCCGGCCTTCTTCAGGTGATTGGAATTTTGAAACGAACCCTTTATTTCGTCAGTCATGTATCGAAAGATATATGATCGTCTAAGTGTGTATCACACATAACACGTAATTGACTATCGTTGAAAGTCTTGAGGTGATGTGTTTTCTTTTTGGTACAAAATATTCGTTTGTGCTTCTGTAGTGCCAGTCCACAAAGATTGAAATATTGTCCTCGCTAAGACCTACAGGCTTCATTCTCTTGATTTTTCTATATTTTAACATCATTCCTACATATTAACACCATAAATAAGAATGTTTTTCTTTATAAATAACATACTATTATTATTATTATTATTATTATTATTGTCCGTTGCAACGACCCGGATGGATAGGCAATTCTAAAACAACCTGGTAAATGCAAATAAAGAACTTTCGTTTGTTTATTGTCATTTTCCTTCAAAGGGCTTTTGAAAATAAACGTTATCTAAATCAAATTTCGTTACTAACTTCTAGATATTTACAGTCCGGTTAAAACCAGATAAATCCTAACTTTCCCATTTTTTTTCAAATGGACGAAACACATTCAGAAAAACAGGAACTGGTTACATAATAATAAAAAGAAACCATTCTGTCTAACTTGGGCTCCACCTTCACTTTGTGAGCTAATAACACAGATCAGGCTTTCACGAAATGAGCATCTTAGATGTCGGCCATTCCCTGCTTTTTTCCTGTTCTAAGTAACATTTGACACTTTACTATAACTTTGCCAACTGTTCCAAGGAACAGGTCACACAATATATCTTTCCAAAGCAAAAAGTATGATCTGTGATTGGAATGAAAACAGTTATTATATCTACTCTGAATCCATCATAAAATATCAGAATATGAAATTAATAAATACTATCCTTGGGCTGACATATAACTTCACAATTTTATTTATCTTCGCTCCAAATTCTGGTTGAAATTATTTCGGGAATTTGCATTACAAGTCAGTCCACGTGACCTGGTTATACGCATTTCATAGGTCAACTGGCAAATGTTCCATCCAATCTCGGCCAATTAGATTTGTTCCCGATTCTTGCATCGCTGATATTTCCAAGACATATAATTTCTTTATGTATGTGACAGTTACTTTTGCCACTCGATGCATTGACCTCACCTGAATATAATTATTTTACTTTTGCGCTAATATCATTTTCAAGAGGGGGGGGGACGGTCAGTGAGAGACTCTGTTTATTAAATTGTTTTTCACTTATGAAGGACAATGAACAACCGGTGTCAATTTCCATCTTGCAACCAATTCCGTTCATCCCCAGTTTACATGTAAAGTACTTTAGGCAGACAAAAATCTGTTCTGTATACTTAGAGATCAATTGCGCCTGAATTTACTTTGTCTTATTTCTGCATAGTTCCTGGCTTTTCCGTTGACTTTCCTTAAACCGATTTCAATAATGATTCCTATTTTGATAATTAGAAACATGATTATTCCATTATTGAACATTGCTTATCAGGCTTGTACCATTTACGTCCGCAATGAATGTACAATTTCCCAGATATCAGTGCTGCATCGAATGTTTTATCTGAAATAGGCATTTTATTTACTTCATGATTCACACTTCTATAACAACCAACGTTAGTAGTCGCAAATTCTATGCCTATTGCCAATTTGGCTGGTTACCTAACGATTTATCTTCGGAACACGGTCATTTTTATATCACTTTTGATAAGCCGTAAAAAAGTGCCCTGTGAGACTCGATTAAAAAACTTACCAACATTTAAAAAATAAATGTTTTAATCGTAAACATACATATCGACAAACTCTTGTTTAACTATATAAAACCGAAAACTATCAGTTACTCCATTGTGTTTCATCTGACTAGGCCTTTCAAGTATGTACAAATCATGAAGAGTAGTGAACATTTCTCCCCGATAAGCTGTGCAAAATTGTTTACGCTTCGCTTCTATTTCTAGACAACATATTAGCTATGAAAGTCTTCTTTGTTTTTCAATCCGATCCGAAGGAGATTACATATTGATAGATTCAACATTCATCTAAACGACCTACACACAGCATAGGTTAAGATCTCATTCTCGTCGCCATTTTGTCACGTCGTAGGCAGATTACCAAAATCAAAACATATCCATTCATATTTGGCCTGCAGTTCTTTCCGCCTCCTTTTTATTCACCAAAATACATTTAGAAGATTACGTGAATAGTTTAGGGCCAAGAAACAATTTAATCAAGACACAACCCATGTTGCTTGTTAAATGATTTGGAAGTTTCAATAAAGACTAATAAACAAGACGATAGAGAGACAAGTAAAAAAATTATATTGACAAGAACTCCTCAGAGAATGAAATTGCTTGCCTAAGCAGGAGAAATGGCGAGTAACCTACTTAACGAATTAATGTGAATCAACGGCAGATCAAAATAATGGTAATATTAGCCGTTTTCTTATAAGGAAACATTTCGCATTCATTGACCGAAGAATCAGTGGAGCTTTCTGATTGGAATTTATAAAATATTTGCATTAAAACAATTTTTCCGGAAATTATGTTCCTTAAATTCATTATTCTCGCTCTTACCATGATTAAAGGGGTTTTTCTTCCTAACCTTTTGATTGAAATAGTGGGGAACTAACATCTCGTTTATGTCATTATTTTATCTTCGTGCCACATGTGATATCCATTTTAGCTATTGTTGCTCTGGAAATTAAGCAACTGATATGATGAATGTTATTTGGTACAGTTCTTTCTTTGAGATTCTGTAGGTCCAATTCACATGGCTGGACGAAGTGTGGTCCTCGCTAAGATGTACAAACTTCATTCTCTCAGTCATATTTAATAGTTGATCTAAGAAAGCAGCTGTATACAACTGCTATTTTAGATATTTCTGAACAAGTTTGATGCTATACATGACATCCGTATGAACGTCTCGATCTGACGAGTCTATTTAAGAATATGTTAATACTTTGCCTTTGTAATAACTGTGACAACCCGTAACGCATCCTATTCTGTGATCAATATTCGCATCTCGTATACTAAAATTGTTATATTTGATTCATAATATTTGATAATTTGTTATAAGAGATCCAAGGTATTTGAAATGTTTAGTATTTAGATATTCCACGTCTTTATGGTAGATTTACAGTAGATGCCATCACTGTTTTCATTCTAATTCCAAATAATAGTTTGGAAAGAGTTCTTGTTCTTGGAACAATTGGTAAAATTATAGTAAATGGTGAAGATCTACTTAGAGCAGCAAACGTTGAAGAGTCGTGGGTAGCTAAGAACACACGTCTTGAAGGGATGGGTCATATGTCTGTAACAAGTATTTTGAGATAGAGGGGTTTATTTCTTTACTCGCTCTAGTTAGATTCTCTCTCTCTCTCTCTCTCTCTCTCTCTCTCTCTCTCTCTCTCTTGCTTATTCTATCTTTATATATCTCTATCTCTTTCCCTCTTTCTCTTCTTCTCTACAAGTTTTTGTTTCCTTTTTTCGGAAGTTTATCGTCTTTTTTTCCTCGTTCTTTCATTTTTTTCTCTTTCCTCTTTCTTTTTCAGATCTAATTTTATTCGTCATTCGTTCGTCTGGTCGTTGTATCTTCTTTCCTTTTTATACCTGTCTTCTATTACATTCTCCTTCAGTTTCTTTCTTTCTTTCTTTCTCTCTCTCTCTCTCTCTCTCTCTCTCTCTCTCTTTCTCTTCTTCCATCTTTTTCTTCTTACTGTATATTCTCTTTTTTTCCTATCAAAATCAATTTTTCTCATTACCTCTTTCTTTTTCTTCCTGTATCACTCTCTCTTTCTTTTTCTTTTTCTCTCTTTATTTAATCCTTCTCCCATCATTATTCCTTATTATTATTATTATTATTATTATTATTATTATTATTATTATTATTATTATTCTCTTTTATTTATGTTTATTACTTTTTCTATTTTTTTCCTTCCCCAACAGAATTTTTTACTTATTTAATTAATCAACCGATCTATTAAACTACACTACGACTATTTCTCACCTGTTTAATTTTTTTTTTTTTTTTGGTGGGGGGGGATGTCTTTACTGGGTTGTTTTGTGTTTCTCTTCACCTATCCTACCATACACGACCTCACCTCTTTTTTTTTCTTTTGTTGCACTTTTCTCTCCCACGTCATCTTATTTCTTTATCTCGTTCTCAAAACTTTTGCATATCATCCATCCCCAACCAGAATTTGATCCAATGTGGCAGAAATTTGAGTTGCAGAAAACATGCCAAACGTTGTACAAAGGATTCGATATAACGCTAGGCTTAATGTATCGTATGCATTCTTTTTCCTTCCCTGGCACCGGTAAGGATACCCAAGTTTCGTGTATGAAAAGGCATTCGTCCAAAACCTTCTTTTGAAACTGAATCAAAATCATAATAGCAAACTGTAACTTAGATCGTCAATTTTCGCCTTAGAGCAAATATCTTGCTGAGTACAAATTCTAGTGAAAATCAAAACCGCCATACTTGGTGAAGGCTGTTTCAATTGCAAATCTTTTAGTGTGAATCAATATTTCGCCTTGCTAGCTGAGTACAGCTTTTAATACAGATCAAATGTTCGGATTTATTACGTAATCAAAATAAGGTTCAAAGTTTAGTCTTAAAACAATAAATACATCAAATTTGCCATCGTTATATGTTATATCGTGGATAATATTATATAAGCAACTAGGTAATCCCGAGTGGAAAGATTACACTAACACAGGAATTAGGTAAAACAAATAACATGGGTTTTATTTGTATGGGAAGTACAAGGAGTAAGAGTTCTGAATAATAATAACAAGGAAACCTGGAAATACGTTACGGAAGTTCGTAGTGGTACTGCTACTACAATACTTCGTCACGTCTTTTATTTTCTCCTCATTCACGTCTCTTAAGACTGACCAATCACTGTCGGGGTATTATAGGTTGTTCCACTATAACATCATATTAGCAATGGGATTTGATGCAACCTATTAATTTTGCAAATATCTTCTTTTTAACATCCATCTATACTTTTGAGATGAGATATTATATCTATTTACACTATTCGGATTATTATCCCTGTCATTTTTTGTCATATTCATGACGTTTCGGCCGTTGTATGCTCCGGCTTTCTTCAGCAAATCTTTTTTTGAAATTACAAATAAATGTTTTTCTCACATGTACATTTTCTATTCATTTACAGAAATCAGTTTGCAAATTTATAATTTAAAAAAAAAAAGAAATATTGCCTGAATAAAACTTAATGCTTATTCAGTTTATTGGAAAAAAAAATATAGAGATTTTATGAGAAAGTAGCTTCCAATTTAGTGACCCACATTTTAACAAACATCTCTATTATTAATTTAAATTAATATATAATGAATAATTATCTTCCCTACCCTTGATGTGAATCATATTTCGCAGAGGTAACCTTCAAGTTTGCTGAAATGAATAATAAACTAATTGAACCATTTACACTATTTACATTGTTTGGACTTTGTTGCCATATTTACAACATTTTGGCCATTATACAAGCTGGTCTTCTTCAGAATCTATGTTTCTGAGATGAGGTATTGTAACTATTTACATTTACATTGTTCAAACTGTTGTTCTTATCTTTATTGCTATATTCACGACGTTTCAGCCGTAGTACAGCATGGCACATGGAATTAGAACAATCTATCCCTGTGGACGAAATAAAAGGTTCGATTCGAAATTCCAACAAGTATCACCTGGAGAAGGCCGGTGCGTACAACGGCCGAAACGTCATGAATATGACAATAAAGATGAGGACAACACTCAGAACAATGTAAATAGTGTAAATAGTTACAATATATCACCTCAGTAATATAGAAAGATCCTGAAGAAGGCCGGAGCGTACAACGGCCGAAACGTCGGGAATATTGTAGAAGTCAAATGACTTACCTGCTAAAAAAGCTGCATCCTTGTCTTTTTGTAAAGGCAAACCAGCCAATCTACCTTATTTATACGATATTAACTAATACAGCTGGTGGGTTGGTCCATTTTCTTGAATGGATTTTCCCACTATATTTGCATAAGTGGACTCTATTTACCCATATATATCTCCATCGAATCATTCAGTGAAAGCAATTAACTGAAAGTTACTACACCAGTCTACTTGTGTGTCAGACAACTTGAAAGTCAACGAATATTCTACAAATATGACAATAAAGATGAGGACAACAGCCCGAAAAATTTGAATAGTATAAATAGTTACAATACCTCATCTTAGAAATATAGATTGACCCTGAAGAAGGCCGGAGCGTACAATGGCTGAAATGTCGTGAATAGGACAATAAAAATGAGAACAACATTCCGAAGAATTTAAATAGTGTAAAATATTTTCTTTTTACCTACAATTTTTAGAACCTTTCAATATTTCGCCAGTATGTTTCGTATTGAAATGAGAAAGATAATTGCCAAAGGTCAGGAATTCATGAATTAGTAACTGATATTAGGATTATTGTTTGCCTAGTATTTGTACTAAACCTATTAAGATAAGAACACTCAGTAAGGATCATACTCACTACTGAATTAAAGGTCTACTATTGTAGCCTGTTTAGGGGCCAGAAAGAAAGACACGAAAGACGAAGGTCGGTTGAAAAAAGTATATTGAAGATATATACGAAACAATAGTGTTAGTAAGAAGTACATTAGCACTGCGTCTACTACTCCATTTCCATTCTTTCTTGGAGTTGTAATTGCTGTGCATTCTCGTATTTTACAAGTTCTAATAGAATACTTTTGAAACCCTCCATGATAAGTGTGTCTTTTACGAAAAAACTCGATTTTCCGTACTTTGAGAGACTTCCTTTTAATCACGGTGGTCCACGCAAAATCCTTGTAAATCTTCGTCACCGAGTTGTTGTGGACACTGGCAACGGCAAATTTTTTTTGAGTCCCCGTGAAGTGCGAATCCTCGTCGCCAAGTTGTTGTGGCCTGTTTAGGGTCCAGAAAGAAAGTCACGGAAGACGAAGGTAGGTTGAACAAGTATATTGGAGATATATAGAAAACAATAGTGTTAGTAATAAGTAGATTAGTACTGCGTCTACTACTCCACTCCACTTCACCCTATCCGACTCTCGCAGTTTGTATTTATGAGAGGAGGAGGAAGAGTTCATTCTACTGTAGGAGGGTTTACCACAACATATACAAAATCATTATGATAATTTTATAGCGAACACAGGAATCACCTCAATTGTAGGCGGCGATATTGTGAGATTTTTTTGTGATGTCAACGAACATTCGTTGCCACTTTTGTAATGTCAACGAATACTCGGTTGTCACTTTCGTAATCGCAAATACAACTATATTACGCCGTTGAACAATACTGGTGTCAGTCACCTTCGAATATCACTCGCAGTAATAGTACTTGCTTGATAATACTCGCTCTAAAAGTAATCCTTATAGTGATCTGAATTGAGAAATAGTATAGTGAATAGACAATTGCGGTTCGTATAGTAATAGAGGATAGACTAGAAATAGTGATCCAAATAGTAATGGAAGAGAGACTAGAAATAACGATCAATTAGATACACGCTACCTCCCACATATGTGTTTCCTCTATGATCACTTGGTCTACTTAATTCAATAATGGAATCACCTATGTTTGCTCACGATCTATGTTCAAACTCAAATGTCGGCAGCAATACTTTATTAATATATAACAGATTTTAATGAAAGTAGTGTATAACTTGAAAACTGGGACCAAGTTAGGAATAACTTCAAGTCGTGTAATCCAGTCCGCTTAAAAAAACATCCAACAACATTGGCTGCCTCATCTATCAAGCTTAAAAGGAAACCTTCTCAACACATAGTTATGAACGTCTCCCATTACTTCATATGTTGAACAGAGATACGGTATGACACTATTTATGGGACCTGCGCAACTGGTTAAAGTCAGGCAACTGACAAGCAAATCTGTGTTAATGGACGAGGTAATTACTGTAGCGCATTTTAATTCTCTCCCGCAAAACATGCAAACGTTAACACCAACAATGAAGTTGCTACAGCCTCGTGTAGTACCAGAGCATTATTATTATTATTATTGTTATTATTATTATTATCATTATCATGCTTATTTTAGTACTCCTTCTGCGTTTGCTTTTCATATGATCGCTTAGTCCGTATTTGCTTTTCTCTTCTGTTTTATTTATTGTCTTTTCTTATTGTGCTGATCTGAAAAACGATCTTAACAATTTTGTTTTTCTGCAGTCATCATCATTATTATTATTATTGTTATCATTATTATTATTATTATTATTATTATTATTATTATTATTATTTCGTTGGATTTCCGTCGTATACATATTTCCTTCCGGGTCCCAGCCAGAGACATAAGATCAGAAATGACGTCATTACATTTTCCATTGATCATTTTTATAAAAATAAACACAAGACCACACGCATTTTACATATATATATATACTTCTTCGTAATGTGTAAGCTGTACTTGTGAGTGCAATGTTTTGCATTTATTTAAGGCATTGTCTATCAAGAATCCCTTCAATGGGTCTATCGGAACCTTTTCTAATCAATCCGAGGGCTCCAACTACCACTGGAATTACTGATGTCCTCATGTGCCACATTTTTGAGATGTCCACTTCAAGATCTTCTTCAAAGATATCTTCCAATATACATTAAGAAAGCACTTTCTGTTTTTTGTGCCCTTCCTTTTCCCTAAATTATTATTATTATTATTAATATTTTATGTATTTCGATGTTCACACCAGATAGATGATGTCCACACTTGAAACTGAATGCTCATTTCTACCATCTTCCTATGAATCGTCACAAACATCTGCAATAGCGTCGCTTGAACAGTCTTTACATGAATTTCTTAAATTTCGAAGTCAGATAATCTTAACTCTCGTATTTATGGAATGGTTCCAAGTGAGTCAACTATTATTGGTATGACAGTCATAAGCTTATGCCAGCTCCACTTCAAATTCCTTCTGGGTTTTT